TTTATGACATTTTTTATATCTTTTTTTTAAACGTAACTTTATTGCTATCACACAGCAGCTAACAAGCCCGTATGATAGCATTTGGATAGCATTATTTTTTATATTTTTTTCTTATAATTGTTAACTTTTTATTTATTTTTTACTTAATTTTTTTCATTTATTATTACTTATTTTTTTTTTTATTTATGACATTTTTTATATCTTTTTTTTAAACTTAACTTTATTGCTATCACACAGCAGCTAACAAGCCCGTATGATAGCATTTGGAGGTGACGGGTTATTTTTATTGACCGTGTCACCTCCAATACAGGAGTTCTAGCACAACACTGTGCTGGAACACCTGCGACAGATGAGAGGGGAAGACTACAATGAGCAGGAGGTTTTTTTTTAACCCTGACATCGCCAAGATCACTTGTAAAGAAACAAGTGGCTTCATCACGCTACATTTAGTTGTGCAAAGCAGGGCTAAATGTAGAAAAAACATTACTGCCCAGCACCCGGAACTGCATGTCCTGGGCGCCGGGAGATTTCAAACCGCTGCTGCCCCTCTGCTCCCTGCCGCCCCGAGGCTGGGCCTCGGTGGACTTGTGGGGAATCTGGCCCTGGGTGGGAGAGGAGACAGGCTAGGGGGATTCAGGTGCAAGATTCAGGTGAGTATAACTTTTGTTATTTTTGTACCTAGATGAAAACTTAACCCTTGCAGTGTGAGGGTAGTCCCACTGCAAGGGTTAAGAAAAAAGTTTTTCTTTAAATAGTGGTCATACGTGATATATTTTAAAATGAAAGTTGTTTTTTTTTTGCAACAGAAAATGGTTTGCTCTGCTATATGGTTTACAGCCAAAAGATAGATTACAGCTGAAATGCGTTTTTTTAAAAACATTTTAGCACCTTTATAACTGGACCAAATCGAATACATACTTTATATTCTATAGCAAACCTGCAGAATTTCACCTCCAATTTTCTCAGCGCGTCAGTAGGCTGTGGTGTGACCTATTAATCTAGATTCCATTATGTTCCTGTGTGTTAATGAAGCCTCTGTTTGATTGGCCCAGGCCCAGGACTAATGCCATTTTAGGCTCCGTTCACACCAGGGCGGTTTGGCCGCGCGGATCTGTCTGAGCTGAACCGCTGACATGAACAATCCCATACATTGCTATGCGGCTCCGCGCGATCCGAACCGCCTGCTGCCCAAAAAACTCCCTGAGCCTTTTTTTTAATGCTGAACATCACGATTTACATATAGATTTCAATGTGACTGCGGTATTGGGCATTTTTAATTGCATTTCAGCTCTGAAACACAATAAAAAAATGCTCAAAACCACCCTTTTAAAAGAAATGGAGACCATGCTGAACCACCTCATCCTGGAGTGAACGGGGCCTTAAACATTTATTAAAACTGCATTGATAATATTGCATCTGGGACCAGCATCTCAAAAATATGGTCCAAAATATAATTGTGGAATTTTTGTACTCAGATTGGATTTGCCACATGAATTCACATTCTTTGGTGTAAAAATTGTTACCTTGAGATACATTCTTTTTTCTTCTGCTTCCTGCTTTATCAGAATGTTGAAAAAGATAATAATTCTACAAACCTGTTAGTAATTTGAAAAGAAATACGTATCAGTTGGCTTGGTTGGTTACCTTTGTAAAATGGTCTCCCTGATAGAACATCTCCTCTGTTGGTAAATCCTGGCCCCCTAGGACATAAGATTTCATATTCAGGGGTACCAGGTTTAGGGCACTCCCCACACTCTGCACCCCAGGCAGCTCCAACTGTACAGCAGCAGGCATCCAGACGGAACCTGCCAGGAACTGGCTGGACACATTCATCTTCATCCCATTTTAGGAAACACTGCTCCATACGTAGATCTGCAAGTAATAAATCAATGTAAGCCATTTACTTTGAGACATGAGGAAAGGTACTGGCACCATTCACATAGGGGTCTATTCACTAAGCTGCCGTCGAGTCACTGCAGTCGAGTGACTCACCGACCCCAAGTGAAGTGAGCACAACGCTGTTCGGCTATTCACTTCAGGCTGGTACGGGTGATTCCAGCCGTATATCGGCTGAAATTAGCCGTACATCGGGTGACTTTGTGTGGCTTCAGGTCAGCCGAACATGCTCAGCATGTGCGGACGACCCAAAGTGCAGAAGAAAACGATTGTGCGGAGCTAGCAGTGACAGCTAGCTCCGCCCAAATGTTTTCTATTGGCCGGGCGGTTCTGCTGCCGTCAAAAAAAAAAGAAATCCCCATAGGAAAGCATAGCTAGATTCCTATTGGTTATTTCAATTTGCAATAGCCAATAGCAAACTAGCTATTTCAATTTGCAATAGCCAATAGCAAACTAGCTATTGCACCTGCCCACTGCTGCTGTCAATCACCAGACGGGGACCTGATGGAGAACTGCAGGTTCCCTCTGCTGATTGACAGCAGCAGTGGGCAGGTGCAATAGCTAGTGGGGATGGGGATTTTTTTTTCTTCTGACGGCAGCCAACGGCTCGAAAAAAACGAGCAGCAGAGTGAACCTTTCTGTGAGAAAGTGTTTCACTCACGGGTGGCCGGGAGCCTATTAGCCCTCGTTCGCACCTGAACGTTTTGTAGCGCGTTCTACGCTCGACGAACGCTCTACAAAACGCTCAAAAATATAAATCCCATTGTATTCAATGGTCTCGTTCCCACCTGGGCGTATTTCCGCCCGTCCCTAACGCGCTACAAAATGGCCCACGCCTGAAAAGGTACATGTACTACTTTGGGCCGTTTTGTTGCGCGTTTCCATTGGGATACAGCCAAGTAGTCTTCGGAAAAGCGCGTTTGCCGCGCGACTTTTTTACCGCGATTCGCGGTAAAAAAACACGCGACGGTCGCGCATATGCAATACGCCTAGGCGTGATATTTTTATTATTTCATTATTCCATATTCCATATTTTTATTTCAAACAAAAGGCAGGATCATGTTAGTTTCAAGTATACAAGAAGCAAATACATTTCTAAGTATCCATATTAAATACTGGAACTGATTTTTTTTTTATAGGAACGATTGATGTGGAGGTGTTTTAATAGCAACCAGATGTGACCTGTTTGTTAAAGGCAAAGTCCACTTTAAAAAAAATTAATGTGCACATATTCATAATAGACAAAATGTGCATTTAGTTTTTTTTTTTTCTTTAAAGTGGATGTTCAGTTACAGGGATGGGAGGAAGTATAAATTGACTGCAAGCACTGTGTCAGATGGAATTTTTGTCAACTGATCTGTGATTGGATATGCGGCTGTGAGGGAAGTACAACACACAGCCACACCAATTTTAAATGTATACAGAATCCTACTGGGAGAAAAACCCCAGCATTGTGGTAAGGGGGGTTGGTTTAGGGGTGGGGGGCTTGTTTATGTGACCATGTTTCATGTTACACCCTGAATATGGATGTAACATGAAATATGATGTTAATGGTAAATTTAGCCTTCATTCATTCTTTTTTTTTTTTATATATATCTCTGACCCTGCTGTATAAAGAGAAAACATAAATTACTAAATAGGTCAGTCAATATGTGCAAAAAGTGAAGCCAAATCCAGCATTTATTTTTAACATTAGGTAATACCTCTGCCAGTTTGTATTCCTGTCTGTGGCAACACAGAGGAGATATTTCCTCATTTCCTGTCCCAGTGACAACAGGACAAGAAACAAGTGGAATGGTTGTCAATGGGACAAGAAGACACAGATATGAACAGAGGTTGTAACCCTTCCCCACTCTACTGATAAAATATTTTGCTTCTAGCATTATTTTGATCGCACCTCTCAGGACCGCAGGCCCAATGTGCCTTGCGATCCCGTGCGGGCGATCGCATTGCGGCCTGAGGGCGTGGCTACGGTGCCATTCACTTCAATGGCCCGCCACGCCCCCTCCGGCCCCACAAAAAAATTAGCCAACCGCAATGCGATGCAGTGCGTTTCGGCCAGAATCGGGTTGGTACGCACTGCATATGATTTGAACGTACCCTAAGGGAAAATCTCCTCAATAGGCTAACAGGCTGCAAATAAAAACTTGGCAAAGCTTTTGTCTTTTACCCACTCTGTCCAAAACAAAATTGTGTAAAGTTTTGCTTTAGGGCTTGTTCGCACCAAATGCAGTCCGTTCCAGAGTGCAAAATGCAAAAAATAGAGCAAGCAGCATTTTTTGCGTGTGCAGTAGAACGGAATGCAGGCAAAGTTTTGCCACGCGTAGGATCGCACTGCAGGTGGGGGGCGTGGAAGAAGTGCCATTGAATTCAATGCACCACCACACCCCATCCCGCACCCAGAGCGCAGGGGGAAGTTTTGTGAGACTTGCGGTGCGCTCCAGCACTTACCGTTCTGGAACGTACCGCATTTGGTGTGAACAAGCCCTTAAACACTTTTATGATCCCATTCTAAACACATATCTGCAACAAAAAAGAACAGAATGTTTACCTAGGCAGATTCTGCCTGTACCATCCAGGGTGAACCCTTCAGGACACTCGCAGCTAAAAGATCCTTTAGAATTTCGACAGATTCCATTGGGGCATACTCCTGGAAACACTTCACACTCATTGACATCTGAAGAAGAAAGCACACAAATTCAACTCAATGTCATTAAAATATAAATGTTCACCAAGCCTATTATTTTCACATAAAACAGTTGACTCTACTAATAGGCCTCTTGGGACACTTTATTAATTCAACAAATGCTGAGAAGAAATGTATTGTGTTGCAAATTGACAGACCTAATGTAAATGCCTTCAGACTCAGAACTCATCAAATTCAAATAATTACTTCTATATATAAGAATCTCTACGTAGTTGAAATTTTTTTTGCCTCTAAGTCCTAATAGGTCGATTTTTGAAGTTGTAATTATGAAAAAATCATGGAAGAATAAACATACACTGACTTCAGGAGTGCACACCTTATCCACTGCCTGGTGTCAGGATGAAACCTCCTGACAACTCAGAGGAACTTTTGGCATGCAGTTTTCTAGCTTGACAAATAGCTAGGCATGGTCTGAAATGTGACATGGAAGCTTGACTGTTTTGCGCTACCATACATATGCAATTAAGTGAAATTTTTTTTTGAATACAGACAAAAGGCCTACGTGCAGATGTGCTAAATTTTTGTAAACATATACTGCCTTATTCATTAAAAGTTGGCAAAGTGTGGTCTTGATGATCCTCTTACACTCTCTCCAGCAAAACAGTAGGTTTGTGCCCCATTTAACCCTTTGGAGTAAAACATTGGGTTGATTTCAAAATGTGAATTTTAAGTTGATAAAGAATAAAGCTATGAAGAGTTAAAAAAAATGGATTCCACATGGGCTGAAGGTCAACATCCTGGGCAACTGGGTGTACTCTGCAACTAAGAATAGCAATTGATTTTAAAGTATCGAGGGCTAAAAACAAAAATTATATATTTTGCAGGTTACCAGTCTTTATATATAGTGGCTGCCTTAGTTTTCTTTTTCAGGCTTCTTTTTTCCTTTCCATTTTCACCTGATGATCTTGCCCGTAAAACCCTTTGATGGTGACAACACTCACTCACTGTACTGTTTCCTTAGAAGAGCACTGTTGTTACTCTAAACTTCTACTCCTGATTTGGATTACAGAATACCTTTCCATCTCCTCATTTCCATTACATGGAGGTGGAGGTGTTCTATATTTCCCAAATGTAAGCTGGGCCAGGTTGGTTACACTGTTTGTGTTTTCAGTGCAGCAGGGGCTCAGTCCAGGAAGTTATGAACTCACTGAATCTCTTTCAGATTTAACAGCAATTTCAATGGTACAGTTTAAAGACTAAAAGGGAAGACATAAGCAAGGTTTGTTATGGTTTACACACTTCACACATATGTTATAATGGTTCAGTTTTAAATGCTATATTAAAAATATTTACATATTGAAGGAGAACTATGGGGTTAGGGCTTTTCCCCATTGTTCTCCTAAGGGTAACAGAAGGACACAAACAATCGTCCTCCCGTCATCCAAAGCTCAGTATACCGCGAGCTATAGCTCGCGGTATACTGAGACGCCACAGCCGGAACGGATCCTGACAATTCTGTCTGGATCCACCCAGCTGCGTGAGTGACAGCTGGCTCTGCCTATCTAGAGGCAGAGCCAGCTGTACCCGCCCCCTCCCCTGTCCGTTCCGCCAGTCAGCGCCGGAGGATCGAACAGATAGGGGGGAATCCGTGCAGGGAGCCGTGAGTGACAGTCACGGCTCTCTGCACTGATAGATCAATAAGTGAGCGAGCGCCGGTATGTGTTCGCTCACTTCCCGATCTACTGAGCCGACCTGTGAAACTTTCATTGTCACAGGTCGGCTCAGATTATGAGGCTGAGTGAAAATCACTTGCCTCATAATTCTCCTTTAAGAAATTGCACAAAACATCTCAGAAAAAATACCTTCACATGAAACTCCTTTGACTCTGGCATATCCCCTGGGACAAGCAGTATCTACAATAAAGAAGGAAATAGTTCAGCTTCACATTGCTTGCAACCATGCTTTTGTCAAATTCAATGCAAGAAGTTGGGAACTGCATAAAAATGACATCACTAAACTCAGTGAAAATACATGATTTTATATGATCAATCTAACACTGTTAATAATAATATAGGCAATCTAACACTGAGGTAATAATCAATAACATACCAATTTCACATCTCTCACAAGGACTGCCCCATGCAGCGCCTAGAGAAGCACAACATTCTGACTTGAGCGTTGCTCCATTTATATTGACTTCACAGCGACCATCTTGGATATTCAGCCAACAGGTTCCTTTAAGGCTATCTATGAATTAAAAATATATACAGAAAATTTGGCATCAAAACTGCGACAGGTATTTAGCTCATAATGGTTCATTTGGATGAATTGCTGTCACTTTCAGCTTTTCCTGAATTGTAGAATGACACCTCAATGGACAGTACTAAAGACCCGCAATGCACATACCATATGCTGACTTAATAAAAGGTGGTGGTCCAGAGGTAAAATCTACTGATAAGGATATCTGTTCTGTTGAGAACAGTGGGACTTTGTGTTTAATTCCTGTTATGTTACCAGGACAGGATCTGAGGGGAAATCTTCCAAGTGGGAAATAAAAACCTAATAAAAACTTGTCCCCACTCTATCCAGAGTAGAAAGAAAGCTTGACTTCCACAGATTTAATTAGGTTTTAATAAAAAAGAATTAAGAAATGTAGGATTGCTATGCATTTCTTTTTATATGTAAGATGATATGAAAATTAGACAAATAATTGTGTGTATATATCGTTCTTTATCCTGAAGCGGAGGATTTGACTCTGTAAACAATATAAGCATACCCTGGCCTAGCTGAAAACGTGACTTATTAAACTATGATGTAAGCCATGTCTGAAGATAACAGGCATAATTTGACACAGTTTGACCTAAACAGTAGTGATCATCCTTGTGTAATTTGTTATCACCTTCAGTGCGTAGTCCCTGATGACACCACAAAACAATATCTGATCCTCACTGTAGTTGACGCTAAATGGTGCTTCCACCAGAACCAGTAAAGTGCAGATACTGTATGCTCATAACAGTATAACATTTCTTGCATACAGTATACGGAAATACTCACCTATGCAAATGAGGCCTGTGGAATCCAGTTTACTTCCAGGATAGCACTCACAGTGAAAAGAGCCAAAAATATTCCTACATGCACCATTAACACATGGGGAGCTTTCACATTCATTTACATCTGGAAAATAACCAGAATACATTTGGTTAGGCCTTAATTAAATAAGAAAGGACATTTTGAAATGGATCAACTGAAATATGCAGACATGTCTGCTAAGGTTTCCGTCATGGAGAACTTACAAACTTGTTCTAAGTCAGGCTTTGTGATAATAGTGTGTTAAATACTAAGGCTGGCATGACTTATTTTGTCAAGTCATAAAACTTTGGCAGATCTACTATTTCCCTACTATCTCAACTAATTGTCTTTGGAGAAGTAGATTGGACTTTCCCTGTCAAGCATTTAAAACTGAAAACCCTGAGGTTTCTGCTGTTGATTGCCTGACTCTATTAACTTTTGGATATGGAACTATAAAATGCTAGTAAAAAGTTGTTAAAAGCTAATATGCTCATATTTAAAAATCTGTACTGGGCAGAGGGAGCATGTGATTCTTGAGCAATATAGAAGGTCCAACTGCAGCACAGCTTGCAAACAGAATGGCAATCTTCCCAAGAGAAGAGAATTCATGGTTTAATCTCTCCTATGTACTTTCACACCAAGGACCTGATTCACAATCCAATGTCTGACAGCCAGAAAAAAGTCTGTCTATATCCACTCTTTCCTTTACTTGCATCCTTGGAACAGAACTGTTTTAAACCTGCTCAAATAGGACATTCTGAGTAGCAGGAGTGGACAAATCAGGTTGTAAATTTCTGAATTATTCCACCTTTTTCTGACAGCCTTTTGCATATCAACCTATGAGATTTAAGTTTACTGCAGTTAAATAAGGTGAGTGCCATTAAATATTTTGCACATAGCTGGTGCATTTTACATTCCAAAGTTGCTTTTACAGAAAAGGCTGAAACTACATTGTTATGTGGCTACATTTAGTTAACTCATTTGGGCACTCATTGTAGTTCTTTATTTTAATTGCACTACCTACTCTTGATTTTGGATTTACTCCAAGATTTAGAAGTCTTGAAATATACTTTAAGGCAAACAGTCTGTGGACAACTGAACACCACAACTATATAAGAATGCTGGACATTCTGTTTCAAATTCATGGGCAATAATATAGACTTAGCACCTCCTTTATGGATCTAACAGCCTCCACTAGTCCATGGGAAGGGATCTGGAGTGTGCTTGGCTCTAAATTGCTGTTCATGCCGACATTGTTCAGTAGAGTTGAGGTCATGGTTCTGTGCAAGCCATTCAATTTCCTTTGCACCAAATGTGTTAAACCAAGTCTTTATGGACCTTGGACCATGTGCACAGGACACAGACATTCGCAACTGAAACAGAATAATTCCCAAACTGTTCCCAAAGCAGAAGTACACAATGTTCTAAAATGTCTTTGTATGCAGTAACATTAACAGTGTGATGGGCACGTGTTCACATACTTTTGGCCATGCAGTGTAAGGGTAGAAGTCTATGTATTTAAGATGTGAAATTTATATGACACACTGTATATTATTGATGAGCCAATACTGAGCCTTAACTTGATTTCTTGGATGGAAAATGTATTCTCCAGTCAGACCCAGCAGCAGGATATCTGGAATCGTTATATGATTTGTATCCATATCGAAATATTTGGCTATCAAACATATTTCTTACTACAAGTCTCACAAAACTGTGATGTGCTTTATTTTGGGTTTGTATCCCATCATCCCAAAAACTGTTCTTCATAATTCCTATTTTGTATATATATACATACTGTATATATACTGTATCCTTGCCATCGCAAATACAAAAATATATAGTCATTTTTCTTGAAGATATTGGGTTGATTTGCTAAATGCAAACAGGCTTTTCACTTTGTAAGAGAATTTTCCCTACACGTGAATGAGGTAAAGTTTTGTTTACTCTTATCAAACAGTTATATACAATGTTTAAGTATTCTTTTCACCACATTTGCTAAGGTATGGGGACATTTCCTTGCAAAGTTAATATTTGCTGCAGCCTATTTGCCTTAAATACATCAATTTAAATATGTGATCTGTTAGAGGTGGCTGTGATAGGTGTTTTTTTTGCCAGACCTATTTTAAAACACACTTGCTATGAGGTAACTCTTATTGCTGATCCATCTGAAAATGCTGGCTGGCTGGCTGTCATGCTAGCCCTCTGGCTTCAGTCACTTTTCTTCATCTGTCCTGCATAGTTCCAGGTCAGTGACTCAGAAAGTAGTAAAGCTGGTTTGTTACTGTGTTATACAAGTGTCAGTCATTAGCATTTTCAGCAATGATAGCCCTGAGTTTTTCTCAATACAATATTACTTCAAACATAAACTGATATAAGGAACTTACCTTCGCAGGTTTCAGTGTCAGTCCTGAATAAGTAACCCTTGGGACATGTACAGCTATAACTTCCTGGTGTGTTTCGGCACAGACCATTGTCACACAGCAGCCTGTTAACCAAACATTCATCAATGTCTGAAAAATAAATAAAGAAGGATGTGTCCACTCTAATTTTACTTTTAGACAGTCCAAAGTGTCAAACAAAAAAACAGAACAGTTTTATTAGTTTTGCCATTACGTGCAAGTTTGTATTCTCTGCCCTCTTTAAGCCAACTGACTTATGCCACTCCTACACACAACAGACCACAAACACAAGACCAAACCTGTTCATTTACTGTCTTCAGCAATTAAAGTCTTTGTATCAACAACATTAAAGGAAGACCCCACGTGTGTTTGCTGCTACCACGGCTGCAAAGAAATCCATCAAAATCCAGTGCATATCAAAATGTAATTCAATGATCTAGACTAGTTAAAAACAATCTCTTCCACCAAGTCCTTAAGGGGTTCAAGCTACTGTCCTACAGTAGAAAAATGTATCCCCGCCCTTATTCAATAAGACATGGGTTTTCAAACCCAATACAAATTCACAGGGTCGGATCTACTATTAGGCACAATAGCTAGGTGGATATAGGTGGCAGAGGCAAAGAAGTGGCTTTTCACACAGCCTTAATTTCCCCCATATGCCAAGAAAGCCTTGGCCTATGAACATTCATCAACTCTGCGCAGACTGGACAGTGTGATGTATAAATGTAATATTTACAAGAAATGAGCAGGTCCTGGTAGGTGAGGTGCGGCTGCACTGACAAAAGTGAACTGACCCTGTGATGTAATCAATCTTATGAATAGTCAGTGTATTTTTGAACATTGGGTTTTTGATCTCCTTATTGTGAAATGTGAATTTTCATGTTATGTGTGCATTAACATGCTCAGTGTTAGTAAGTCAATAAATTCACTATTTAAATAAATTAAATTTTTTGGGGAAAAAAAGCAATTCTTCCTAGTCAAAATGTACATTGCAAGGGTTTCTGAAACTTTATTTTGTGTCTTGCTTCTTTTTTATAGATACTGGGATAGCTCATACCAACACTTGCTTAGATTTTCTACATCTGTACTGAACTTTCTAAATACTGTACATGCACAGTATCACTGGTCACATTTTGAATGTAAATATAAGCAATGCATTTATTTTTTGTAATGTTTTCCAAATTTTGAAGAATGTAAAATCTATTAGAAAAAGGCATCTACTAAGCTTATGTTTCTCTGCATTACCACAAACATTGCTCAGAATTAAACAAAAACCACATTTAATTATCTAGCATTTTTTCACCACAATAAAATGAGTGGTGAAAAAAGGAAAAGACTATAAAATATTACAAAGCCCAGAGTCGGGTGTCAGAATAAAATACACATTCTTCTACATCTCTGGGTGTAACTTTAAAAGAGAGAACATTTTTCACTTATCTTCTAAAGTTTGTTCTCCCTTGTAACCAAAGTGCCCACCCTGATGGTTTTTCATTAACCATGCTTATAATATGCAAGAATAAGTTGAATAAGTTTTTCCCTTTTGCTTCCACCAACTCGAGCCGCTGACCCCACACAGAGTCCCATGCACACTTCTACAGCCTGCTGAAGTGGGATGCTGTACAGCATGAAAGCAGATCTAACCTATAATTTGATTAACAGCCCTGTTTAATGTTCATCTTGCTCAGAGAGTCAAAATATATTGTAGACATAAACCTCGGGCAGTTTGGAGGTAGATGAGTCTGGCAGAGAAGCACAGCAGATGCAAAAACAAAAGTAGCAGGACCCATTCACACTATGCATGGCATAAACTCATGTGTGTTAACATAACAAGTTACCCTATTTTTGTATGTGCTGCTATAAGGAAGCCTATTTATTTTAACCTAACATATGGAAAAATGGACATGCACTATTTTTTTTCAACACAGAGATGCACCACATGGCATGCACCGCATGAGTAACCCATTACCACATGTTAGGGAAATCCACAGTAAAAAGTTCTTTTGACTGCATGCTACTACAATGTGATACTGTGAATTGAGCCTCTTGTGAAGTGAGCCAGTTAATTTGCATATTTACTTTTAAAAGGCGAGAGAATCTTAAAAGGGGCTGCCTTTGAACACAACAGAAAAAAGTTGAAAACACTTTAGATTTGTTGATTTCCAAATTCTCACTGTCTTTAACCATACTGTAACATCAAAAAAACCCAAGCAATAGCGATGTCATTTTGACTTCCCCCAAAGCCAGAGACTGGAGACCTTTCAGGGAATCAGCCATTATATTCTAGCAACGGTTCTTTGTCATTATAAACAACGACTTTGCGGCACTAAACCCCCTAATGTGCTTTAATCTATATATTTAAACACATTTCTTTGATTTACTATTAATCTACCATAAAAACCTTATAATTGTGATCAAAATGTCCCTTGGACGGGATGAAAAAATATCCAAATAAGGATAAACACAGTTCATGAAAATTATTACTGTTAAAAATTGTCACAGTGAAACAATGTGTATATATATCACAGTGAATATCACAATGACCAAATATTGACAGTGAAAAGACCTGCTATCCCCTTGAAAACATCAGGAGTGACGAAACACGTCGGGCCCGGCCTATCTGACGTCACAGCATCACAAAGATTGCGGAAGTGAGCACGGAGGCTCACGAGATACCGGCCATTTTTATTTGTTTTTTAATAAACGTTTATACATGCTTCACCATGAGGAGTTCCTCTTGAATTTTTTATATATGGGAAACAACATTCGGGAAACATCCGGAGGAAATACTAAGAAGGATCTGACCCAATACCTGCCTCAGGTTGCCTACAAAGTGTAAAAAAGATCAGTGCAGTGAGTGTGCACTGCCCTGGGGGGCTTCGTGTGTGACACCAGGAAGAACATTTAAAAGCACAAGCACTTTATATAAGGACTCCAATGACTTTTTTGTGAATTAACAATTATTGCTCTTATCACTATATGAATTTTTTGGAGTTTGACTATAAATAGTCACAAATATTTCACGTTTGTTATATCTCGAGGCTTGTCTATCCAGATAGGGGGTCGCATCATCACTATTTTATTTTGGTTTGCTTACGGCACGTTTTGTTTTTATTTTTGTTCATTTATGAACTTTTCACTGTCAATAGTTGGTCATTGTGATATTCACTGTGATATATATACACACATTGTTTCACTGTGACAATTTTTCACAGTAATAATTTTCATTAACTGTGTTTATCCTTATTTGGATATTTTTTCATCCCGTCCAAGGGACATTTTGATCACAATTATAAGGTTTTTATGGTAGATTAATAGTAAATCAAAGAAATGTGTTTAAATATATAGATTAAAGCACATTAGGGGGTTTAGCGCCGCAAAGTCGTTGTTTACATTATTAGGACGTTATTGTCTGTATTGTGGCAGCTTTATTTCCCATATTATTAATATATTATCTATAAGCGCAGATCAACAGATTTTGTTCTTTGTCATTAGTTACATTTTGCAAGGTGATAAACTAAAAATTAGTGTGCAAACTTACCAATGCAGCTTCTCCCAGAGGAATCTGATTCATAGCCACTATTGCAGTTACAACGGAATCCTCCACGTAGGTTTTCACAAATGCCATTGGAACAGATGTCAGGGTCCAGAGCACATTCATTGATGTCTACAGCCACAAACCAATAATTACATTTATTTCATTTTTAAATTACTTTTTGTTCAGTCAAAATTTGAAAGAACATGATAGTTTTAAATCAACATAATCAGAACCAGATAACTGGTCCTGTGAAGGAATACAGGGTTCTAAGTAGTATTTCTTTTTAATCACAAAGACACAATGACATTGTGCATAGATATTTTCACATATAAAATAAATTACCTCTTCCATCCACTGTGATGCCAATTCCGCTGCTGCACAAACCTTGAAATTCAGCTGCATTATAAAACATGTAAAAAGATTTAATACATCTGTATATACAAACCTGCGATAAGCACTCTTTTTTTCCAGTCACATATCTTTAAAATATGAAGTTATATGAAGCTAGCACACTTAGCAAAATAAAAAAGGGCATACTATAATTTGCATAAAAATCTAGGAACTTGCATTCACCAGCCATTTGCCCCTGCAGATCTGTGTTTTAAATATAACACAAATCTCTGATGGGAACCGGGTTAAATGAGAATCCTCTATATTGCATGTCTGATAGCCAGCAAACGTGATTGGTTTGTGAGGGTGTGGGAATGAGCAGAAGCAGTGTGTACATCATCTATAAAATCATCTATAAAATCAATGAACCAAACAGCAAATCTCACAAACAAGATCGGTCCTTAAGGCAGTTAGAATAGAACATTAACAAGACTCAGGACATTGAAGAAATCAAGATGTGTGGTAAAGGGCAGTAAATTCAACCTGACCCATTTCATGTGAGAAAATATGGGTCTTTTTTATAAAGAGCAATCAATTGATCTATATAAATAAAATACCATATTGGACTCTACCAGTAGCAGTGGCACCCCATCTTTTCTCAAATTGAGACTTCCTCTCCTAGTCTGGGTCCCTTGTTTTGTGTAGTAGCAGCCCTACCAAGAATGTAATAAAATATGAGAATCACTGACCATACTGACTGTACATAGTCTCAACAAGCAATAAATAAACTTTCAAACAAGCCCTAACTGACCTCTGTAGCTGCAACTTCTATAGAGTAATTCATCCTCAATATTTGTTTAGCTGAAGCATCTCATTTTGCTATTCCCTTCTTTGCATAGCTTCCATGTTATGGAATGCTTAGAGTTCCTGCTGGGTTTTTAAGATCTTCTCGGAGAATCCCAGCCAGGATTTCCAGAAGACCTGCCAGTACCTGTGATGGTGCTCATAGGAGCTTTGCCATTACTTTTAATGGCTCTCACAGAATCCAAGCCAGTATGGCTAATGATAGGCAGAGATTTCAGACCAGGACATCCAGAGCACCCTGAGGTGAGGCTGGGGGTGTCGCCTCTGATTCAAAGGGGTGTTGCAAGGGACCGGTGCTGTGCCTTCAAGCCAGCTTCCTGTGCGTACAAAAAGCTTTATTACTACTGTTGTTTCTTGTTGCTGACCTGGACTGTCTGACCACTCTCTGCTAACTGCCTGCTTCGACACCTGCCTGGACCCAACTAGATCTTCGTCTCATGTCTACTGGCTGCAGATCTGGACCGTCTGAACATTCTCTGGTTATCTCCTGTCTGGACCTGTACCTTGTTCTGGCCATGTTCAGGAATACTGTCTCCTCATTGGAGCCTTCCTATCCTTGTACATCCCTTAACAGGACAATTCTGGGGGCCGCAACTTGGCACCAGCAGGCAGCTAAACCCATCTCCACCATCAGGAGCTCTGGTGAAAACCAGCTGGTGCTTATACACCAAGCCTCAGGTGAACCCTTGTCATCTGCCAGGGGGTGTCACCGTAACACCCCTGCAGTCAATGAGCTGGCAACCAGCCATCCTTTTATCTATAATGTAAACACAGGAAGAGCTGGAGACAGAAAATTGCTGAGACCCTACTTGCAGGATTTCAATGCTTCTATATTGTGAAATTGGAGGATGATTTTATTAAAGCTTATTTTCTATTCATTCAAAATGTATAATTATTGGCATGCCCATAGTATGGCCATAGTTCTACTCAAAGCTCTAATACATACATATGTTGGTGCACAATTTTATCTAAGGCAGTGTTCAGTCCCACTTCACAAGCACATTGGAATCATCTGGAAAGTGCCACTTTTTAGCACTTGTATCTATGAACCCCAAAATATATTACACCTTTAGCTTGCTGTCAGGGAGAAGGCACACTTAAAATAAGCAATACTTAGTACATTAAATTAATAAACTAACTTTGTAGAAGCACAGAAAATGCTTACCAGAGTTTCGTGGAGGGCACGGATAGCATGGTTCTCCAAATCCATAGTCTGGATTGGCACAGCAACACTCAGATTTGGTCACAGCTCCAGGAAATGGGCGGACACAAAGTCCTTTTTTGATGGCTCCATAGCAAGTGCTACGCATGTGTGTGTCTAAAGAAACAGGAAAACAGCATCTGTTTAACCTCAGCATATTAAAACCATCCCGCAATAAAAACATCTAAGAGCACATGTCCTTACCATTACAGCAAGCACAATATTGAAGCATGATGAAAAGAAGAAAGTAAATACATATTTGTAAATAGGTTCCAAGAGTATACAGAAATATTTTCTGACATACCTAGTATTGTTTTTATAATTTACATTGTACATTTTGATGTTATTTATATATAATGTAAATGAGGAGATTGAAATCATACACTATATACTATATAGTATATCACACAAATGCTATACTTACCCACACAAACACGACCATCTACCCCAACAGCCAACCCTGGTGGACATTCACAGCGGAAAGACCCTTCCGTATTAATACAATGGCCATTCATGCAAATGCCTGGAGTAAGACACTCGTCAACATCTACCAAAATAAAATATACAATAATTTATTACATTAGGCAGACAAATCAGAAGGTCAGAAATGAAGTACAATAGACAATGCACCAAGCTTTGTTTAGGTTATAATACATACCGGTACAGTAACGACCACTGGCTGCAAGTACAAATCCTGGTTTACAGATGCACTTGAAGCTGCCATCTTCATTTATACACATCCCATTTAAACACATATTTGTAGTTGCACATTCATCATGATCTAAAAGTACACAATAAGCATAGTATTAAGCATTTTTTTTTGCGTTATGGTAATCTCAATCACCAAAGGTAAGGCATGTTTTTACAGAGTACTAGTATGTTAAAATAGTTAACAAATCAAAGATGTAAAGATAGCCACAGTCATGATTATTATTATACAGGATTTATATAGCGCCAACAGTGTTGTGCAGCGCTTTACAATATAAGGAAGACATTACAACCACAATACAAGATGGTAAGGAGGGCCCTGCCCGTGAGGGCTTACAATCTAAAAGGGAGAGGCAAGTGATACATGAGGAGGTAGCTGTGTGGGGATGAATTGTTTGAGAACATGATGGTTGAGTGGTTAGTTTGAGGTGGCATAAAGACATTACAGTTGTCCTCCTCCCCATCAACCACTCCTGGACATTTATAAGAATTCATATACTTATGCATTGAACTGAAATCAACTGCAGATAAGCCCATCTGACTTTGGTTAACCAAAATATACATCATTATGAAGTAAAACTCTAATGAATTACCAGTACCAGTTAAGCACATTAGTTATTTTATGATGATTGTATCAAAAGGATTCTTGCAGGTAATCATTGTTTCATATCAGTCCAGTGAGTGCTGTATAATCAGACAGTATCCAACAACAAGCAGGTAGCAATATACAGTATCATTAGCAAAAGTACTACTGCTATGTAAATGTGTTTTCTATATTTGCAAAGTAACTTAGGAAAACACAAAATTAAATAATAAGAATGTAAATGTTGCCACTATTTAACTTAATGTCCCTGTAATTAGCAGGTGCATTACAATGGAGCAGGGATATTTGCATGATGACAGAGATGCAAATGATTATTCTGACAGAATTGCCAAGATTGAGATACTAACTTGATGATTAGTTAGGAAGGCTTTTGTGTGGCTGATACACCCATTCTTTATTTTGTATGATAGACAAAGGATACTAATATCCTCACCTAATTTGATGTGTTCATATCAGCTTTTTATCCTTATTAATTACCAAGATCTGCTCAGTGAAAAGGAGAAGCATCAACTCTAGGCTACTTTCATAAAGTCAAACTTTTCATCCGATGGGGAGTGAGTTCATAAATCCCCTGAAGAAACCATTTGGTTTGGAGGCCTTGTTTCCATTGTTATTACTAAACTTTACTGCTGTATTTAAGCTTTTTAGGTTTACCTAACTGAGTCTGTTTTGGAATAGGTATTTTATCTGATTGTAAGGTTTTCTAATTGTAATTGTAATATTCCTTTAATAGTTTCCATGATCTGTGATACAGTTGGCAGGGATATTTCCATTATCAGAGTTCAAACCTTGATGAGCATGCTTCTCAAATGAGTAAACATTATTGAAGCTTTTTGTAGGAACTGGACCAAACTCCACTTATGACTTCGATATGATCTGTCTACACTAGGACTTAAAACATCATTCAGAGTAGCCTTTAAAGCCGCCATGATGTCTAGAGATAATGACCCATAAAATAATAAAAAATATGCAAGTAGCATTCATTATCGAATAAAATCTTTATTTAAAAAAGACAAAAAAGAATACTTTATTATTAAGGTAATGTCAAAAAGTAGCTCATTGTATGAATGATCGCCATAGCTTCAGCCAAAGTGTCCCAATGTCTTTGATAACTATTATAATCCAGACATTCCTGTTATTCTAGCACCAAAATTTGCACAGGCGCTCAGCAATTGATAAAGATAGTTTTAGACTACATGGTGACTCCTTTACAAGCGTTTGCTACGTGACATAGGAAATTATGTAAACAGCTGTTTCTAACACAGCCCAGATGTCTGATTTACTGCAGGAACTGGGATGCATAGTTTCTTCAATTATTAAGTTGTTTTGTTGTGTGGAGGGTTACCTTTTTATTAATCAGGAATTACATAAAACAGATATTATTTCCAGAGGTTTTACCTGCACAGTTCTTTCCATCAGCAGTTAGCTCAAAACCAGCATTGCAAATACACTGAAAGCTCCCCTCTGTGTTAACACATCTTCCATTTTTGCATAGGATGCCATTTTGAATACATTCATCAATATCTAGGTTTAAAAAAAAAATCACACTGGTCAGCTCTACAAAAATTGGTGGAAAGCCTAGCAAAAATTATTTTCACTCAAAGTAAATGAATATTATTTAAGACCACAGTATTCATGCAAAGGGAAAGGTTGGTTTTATCATTCAACATCAATCATGTTTCTTCAGGTTACAATAATGCCTTCATTGATTGAGTTGTTATGAGTTTTGGATGTTAAAAATGTAACTATCATTAAAGCTTTCTTAGATAACACAAATACCTATAGCTCACAAATTCTGTATTTCCTACCAGCCTTTTTGACCAAGCCCAACCCAGTATAGCACCAACGATCTGTTGTTAGGGCTTGTTTACTTATGCTGCATTTGTTAAAAATACACAGATGAAAGAGCATAGCCTTTGTGCTAGGTATGTTACAAATGCTCATTTAGCTAATCTATGGTAAAGCAGATCTAAGTTTAGTGTTAGCCTCCTCTCTCCTAGTGCCCAGTGCAAACAAGTGTCAATTTTGTCCTTCTGTTTTTTTTACACAGAATAGTGATCATTTAATAAACTAGACATTCTGTCAAAGAAGTCTTGGATGGATGTTGCCATTGTTAGACTCCCTCCCTGTATACTAGTTTTGGGGTGGTCCCCCTGTGTAAATGGACAAATGCAGCATGGTTCGGATGTCCTTCTGACCTTCATTTAACATTTAGCTTACGTGCATGTTGCTTTCTTAAAATGTGCATTAAAGTGATCATCTTTAATTTGCCTGCACTAGAAGAGGTATTACACTCTACTTTCCTGCAGACAGTGTCTTCTACTTTGCCTTGGTTCCACTGTAAAAACCTCCAATAGACACTAAGCACTTTCAAGAATGTCAGGTGTCTGCTCCATCCTCCAACCCCTGTGTAATTGCTATATCCTGTAGTGATGTAGGGGTCCAATAGAAATTCAGAGGTATTCAACACTCCCAAAGTGTTGAATTCTGAAGAGTCTCTTTAAGTTGACTCAAGCTGCTTTTGGGCTCCTGTTGACTTTCATGGAGAGAAACAAAGCTCCAAAACAAGCTGCTATAGAGATGCTGAAACGGTGATTTAATGACCCAGGACCAGCTGTTATAAAGGCGGACTTTGATGAAAAAACTGGACTGAACCATTTGTAGTAGGACCAGTAATACTAGAGTGAATACAGTCATTAAAATTGGTATCTTTTCATATTTAATTTAACACTTACCAAAATGACATTTAGTAGATATTATTTTAATAACTGCAAGTGGTCAAAACTCCATAAAATATTACAATGTTCTCTAACACATGAGAAGCCTAAGATTCAGCAATCTGCGCCATGTGCTTCTCTCAAAAATATTTATTATTATTTACAGGTGTATAAAACAACTATTTGTACTGTATATTTAATAGGTAAAAATGTTGCTTTCTTCGGGCAGAAAGCCTTTCCTGATGGTGATTCCATGTAAGTTATTCAGTCAGCAAAGGTGTCTTCTACCAAACAATTATTGTTTTTGAGGAAATTATTTATTTGTGGCAGAATCAAAACATTTCCCAATAGTTTCCTCTGAGATAATGGAGAAACACTGATACGTAAATGGAAACAATAGTGATGTGGGAGAATCTGAAATATATATTTATTATATAATAAAGATATCAAAAAGCGCCATGAGTTTTCTAAATAAGTAAATGTAAGAAAGTATTTACAGAACCACTATGCATTCCCTCTACCTGTAATCATTAATGACCTGTCTAATGGCATCTCCTTCATGTTAAGTTACGCATTAGGAGAATCTTTCTAAATTCAGTGAAAAGAAAAGTCATAATACTATACTTACCAATACATGCCTGCTTGGTAGGAGTCCTCTGAAAGCCAGAATGGCACTTACAATAATAGGATCCAGGTGTATTAACACAATCTCCATTAGTACATGGGTTTGATGTACACTCATCAACATCTGTTTGTGGTAACAAAAAGTCATAACACGCAGTTAGTTCAAACTGTATAATTTGAGAACATGTCATTACTGGCCACAGTATCTTTTCAGTAAATGTTTCTTCCACTGATTTTGCTAGCCTATGAATTTTAAACTGTTCAAACAGGTCAGAGTAAAACAGCTGTATCCACTAATTGTGACTGTACCTTCCAGGTTACTAGGATAACAAAATAGTTGTACCTTCAAGGCAGCTGTAAAATAATTAATGTACACATTTCCTGGACATAACTTCTGGCCTAACAGACCTATTCATTACATCCTAATAGTACCGTTACTAAAGGAAACTAGGAGGGGAACATGAAACAAATTGCTTACAAGAATTTAGTCCAGAACATTAGGTAGTGACTGGGGATGTTTAGCAATTGTGGTGGTTTTGAAATTTAATGGGCTTAGATAAACAGTTTACAAATATCTATTTAGACATTATTTGCTTTGCTTCTGAATTTACCATTTGGAAAAAAAAAATGTAATAGAAAGTAACGCTAACTGACATAACCTTGGCTGCATGCATTGGGGCTTAGGTGCTCATTAAAGTCACTATAGTATGATTCAATATTTGACATTCCTATTGGCCATTGCTTACAGATTATTCCGCTGCTGAAAACTGATATACAATTTTTACTACATGAATTTCTGAAATGTATATAAAAAAGAAACATCACATTCAGATAACTTGATATTTCAGTTTGGCAACTTAGCGATTACTTGAATTTTTCTTTAACATAACCCACTACAAGGTAGAGTTCACATGAGTTCATATGAGCATACTTTGATTGTACACCAATACAGTTCACAACTATTGCTGACCTTAATTATGTACCATTTAATATTGGCAGTTACTTCTACAAAGACTGTCATAAGTTACAGGAAGTAGCAGAGATTCACTATTGCAATGTTAGAAAAGGCCAGTTAAGTAGGCTCCATCTCCTGAAAAGCTCAGCATAGTATATACATACCATTACATTCTGTGTGAGTATCTTGCTTGTATCCCATGTTGCATTCACATCGGTAACTGTTAAGGTTAGGTATACACCGTCCATTTAAGCAAAGATTTGGGTATTGCTTGCATATATCTATTGTCTGATTTAATGTTGCTATAATGAAAATAAAAAATATATAAATACTGATTTGTTATTAATATTTATCACATAAAACTGAACATGGCATTAGTTATAATATTATAATTATTAATACAATCTTTGCCATTCATGTTGGTCATAGTAGTATTCATTGTTATGCTCAATAATGGATATGTAAAATATTTATAGCACAAAATAAAGTGAAGATCTCATGCACTTAAAGTGAACATAGCATTAAAGGGAACTTGTGCTAAGATAATGTGAAGGCTACCATTGCTGGCATTGGTTACAGCACTTTTTTAGGCTGTCCATGCACTGCTTAGATTTTTGAAAGGACTTTCTTTACACTTTGTTAGCTGATGGGGTCAATTCGACAATTGATTTTGACTGTATTGACGAAAAGGAGCAGGATGGAAACATTTTCCCAAATAAATGACACTCTAACAGTGAATGTAGTTTTCATTTGGAAAACTCCATTCATTCCAAAATAAAACAAAATTTGTCAAGTGTCTAATGTCATTATCAAGTGGTAAAGAACGTTCTTTCGGAAATCTACTAGTACATGGCCAGCTTTTGTCACTGACATGGAAAAACAATGCAGATTAGGATGGCTTTTTGACTTCACATTTTCAGATTTTTTCCAGGTGAGTGTCCCCAAGTACTAGCAGCTAGGCAGCTGCATTTTCAGAAGGAAGTCAGCTATGGCAGCCAATGAATTTGTCTAAATAGTAAACTTTCATGTGACTCAAAAGGGCACATGTCAGCATAGCCAAATTACATTAATATTTAGAGGAAAATTTACATTTTGTTTGTAATTAATAAAAAAAATGCTTTTCCTCAGCATTAGTCTTAGAACAAGCCTGGATCACGTGGTGTCTGGCAATAAAGTATTATAGAGTCTATTGTTCTCAACCAGCAAAGTGGATAAAAAGATCAAACAGGCGGTCCTTATGTACATAGATGTACATAAACAAATACCAACTCTAGTAACAAATTAGTAACTGTTGTCAAACAGTTTAGTAAGAATCCCTATGCTTGCCATGCAGGTAACACACTCAATGTACATTTATTCAGTATTGTATTACCTTTCAGAGCAGTTATTAAACACTAAAAATAATAGCACATGATGGTTTATGTGTAAGAATGTCTTTCATGGATATATAGGTAAAATCTCATCACTGAGATCTGTTTACCTCTTAATAGTAAAATGCATGGGCTGGGGAAGATTGGGTTAAGGGGAATGCTCTGCTTTAAAATAGTTAACCTGCTGTCAATTCATCATTTAAAGGTCTAAGCACCAAATATGCCAAGCCTCCTATAGATAACATTTTAAGATGCAGTAGGCTATACAGCGAGGATATACATGATGACAAGTAAATGAAGATATGTTCAAGCGTGAGCATTTTGACTTTCTTTTCAATTACATGTTAAGGAATGTAATTGCTAGCTCTTTTAAACAGAATACTTATTTGTAAACTACTGATTGTCATAAGTACTAAGTACTAATCATCATTCAGAAGTAAAAGTCAAACAGCCTTTACAGTAAACATATAAAATTACGACCACATCTTACACAATTGGCTCACTGCACTCATTGTGTGTGTACATTTAGAAAACTATTAAAATGTAATTACTTAAACAGTGTAATTAGCCATCATACGCATGATATCAAGATCAGTGATAATAAGAAGTAGTGTAACACTAATGATATTGATTTCTGTGTTCACAATCTGTGTGGATGCCATACAGATAAATACAGAAAAATTGAATCTCCCCCAGATCACTGGGTGATCACTCAGAATTTCTGAATTCATGTTTGGAACCATACAATAACTCACCAACACCTCCTCCTGTTCCAGTACCAGTTCCATCAATTCCTGTTCCACCTACACTGGGATAAAATCCATTTCCACCAGGTAATGGAATATATCCATTTCCACCAGGTCCAAACACATTTGGTCCAAATCCTCCTGGGCCATCTATTCTGGGACCCCCGAATGGAACCCCATCAATGCAAAGCCTCCGGTATTCATCTGAAAAGAAAAAGGATGAGCCGTTTTAGTGAATTTAACCCAAAGAAAAGTTCAACTTTTTTGCAAAAAAAATCTGAAAAACCCTTTACTGAAATCTGAATGGTTCTGGGCCTTTTACATTACTGAAGATCAGCTGTTTTGAAACCAATTCTGAAGCAGCTAGACCACTCAATAGTGATTGGCTTTTGTTGAGCCGATGTAGCTCTAACCAAGATATTTGACTGCACTGAGCCATAAACAGTCAAGTCCAGCCCATCTTGGGGGTACGTGGTGCAAACCCCTGTCAATGCTTAAGCAATGCAGATATTTTCCCAGCATGACAGTAACATACCTACAAGTGAAAGCAAAGTAGCTTGCATTTTATGCCCAGTGATTTGCTAGATAACAACTAAATAGGCAAAATTATTTATTCAAGAAAGAAAGAATCCCAAGAAGAAATAAAAATTTTTTAAATGCTTTAGAATTTGTTACTGACCTGAACCTCTGACTGGACACAGTTCGGGAATAGATCCCAAAGCCCAACATCGACCAGCTTCACAACAGCATTGCATTTTGGTAAATCTGCCTGACAGCTCTTGTGCGCAGCGCCCATTCACAAGACTGGAGAAGCACGTACCTGACCTCTGATCTATGCAAAAATCACAAACAACATATGATTAATTACAAATAATGCATCTTCGTATACTGTACAAATATAATTGTCAACAATATTTAGGTTTCCATATTTGGTAAAAATCAAACTTTGCTTTTGATTCACAAGAATATTTTAAATAATATAATGAATGAAAATGTCATGGGGAAAAATGATAGGACTCCTAACCCATAATTTTGTTGCACAACCTACAGAGGCAATCACTGCAAATAAGTGATTTCTGTAGCTCTGAGTAAGACTTCTGCACTTGACAACATGTAGTTTGGCCTACTTTTCTTGAGAAAACTGTTCCAGCTGTCCCAGGTTTGAAGGGTGCCTTCTCCAGACTGCATGTTTCAGCTCTCCATGGATGTTCAATAGGAGGACCCATGACTTGCGACTAAGACAGAGCGTTTTGACACTAAGCAGCATGGTTCACTCCAGAATTCCTTGATAGGCTTGAGATTTCTTTGTGCTCTGAATACATTCAAGGCACCCAAAACATAACTGAGCTTCCTCCATGTTTCACAGTCTTTTCTTTTAATGCTTCATTTGTTCATATATGAACATAGAAATGATGTGCCAAAAACTACAGTTTTGTCTCACCTGTGCAAAGGACATTCTCCCAGAAGCATTGTGGCTTGTCAATTTTAACAAATACCAGTCTGACTTTTTATATGTTTTAGCAGATTCCTCCTTCTTACTTTGAGCACACTGTTGCTCAAAAAGTGAAGTTGTGGTGAATTAATTTACATGGTTTTCATTTGACAATTTTTTCACATTAATCAGAGAATGTGAACAGACTGAAATATACCAAGAACCAATCCGCTAAAGTTACAAAGTACAGTTAGGCATATTTTAAACCAAGTGAAGAAAGAAAGGGTTTGCCGGCACTTATTAGATTGCTTTACATAAATCCCTGTGTCAGCAGATACTAACATATCTTGGCTTCAGAGATCTCCATCTGTCAGCACAGGGACACTAGTAACAAAGGTGGATGTTAATCTTCAGCATCTGAACCCTTGCATGCTACAAACGCTTTCTGGTTAGCATCCAAACCAAACCCATTAGACAAGAGTGAGCTTTCAACAAAGTATAGTATATACTAGCAGCCCCTGGCCAAACAAATATAACCGAAGTTATAAAATAATGCCTCTTGCTCTTGTTTTTCAATTCCTTTCACTTAATTGGTAATAAAAAAAGTATCAGGGTTTATTCGGAATGTTCCTTTAAGTTGTTTATACACATTTAATGCACTTGTATATTGAGTAAATCCTGAAGAATGAGGATTTTCTCATCCATAGAACCTCAAGTGACCTGAACCGTGATTAAGCACAGGGAAACAATACAAGGTTTATCTAAGGACGCAATAAGATAAGTATACAGAAACAGTTTATAAGTTATCATACATATAGGATACGTCTAGTTCAGGATTTTAGAATTAAGGCCTGCTCAGAGACAATTGCTTGATTATGGGAAAATAAATTGATGTATCTGTAATTACAAAAACTTCTGTACATAAAATACACTTGAAGTATATTATATCATTTCTCAGTAATTACTCTGTTCTAGAATATTTGTATTTATAAAATGTGGTCATATAGTAGCCTTTCTCCCACTCCTGGAGAATTAGTAGTCCCCAAGCAATGAAGCTTTTCTCAAAAGTATTTGACATCAGATGACAGATTTACTAACATATTTCCTTTAACCTGACAAGACCTGTCTCAATGTAAACTCTAGTTTACCTTACCAATGCTCTTAAATTTGCTGATGTCTTACTGATTTTGGCTATTAGGATATTTTACCCAAATTCTGAAGAGTTAACCACACTATCAACATTCGTGATATGTTTCAGGCTTTTTTGCTCACTATAGGGGGTTATTCACAAAGGAGCCGAAGGATCCAGCCGTAGCCTCGCCTGATGCTTCAGCTCTCTTCGGCCGCCAGAGCCCGTTCAGCAGCCAAAGGCGGCCAAGTGGCTCAGCCGAGCCAAAGGCAGCTGGCTCCGCCGAGTTCTAATGACTGATCTGCATCCCCAAATGACCTGGGAATGCTGATCTGTCATTAAACAGTAACAACAACGTTACGGCTCTGCCCAGCTGTTATTAATTGGCCGGGACCTGCTAGAAGACTCTTAATAAAATCTTTATTTTTTAATTTTACTATTTATGTACTTTTTAAAAATATTTTTTCAATCTTTTTTTTAAAACTCTTTTCATACGGAGGTACCGAGCAGAATAGCTTGCATAGCATTCGGCTATTTACTCACTGCCGTTCGGCAGCGAGTGAGATGCTGGAGCTTCGGCTCAGCCAAACCAGATGTTGGATCAGCTGAGTCGAAGTCCTTCTGCAGAGCATGTTCGGCTGACTAAAGTGCAGCCAAAGGCAGCCGATGTACAGCTGATTTCAGCCGATGTACAGCTGAAATCAGCCATACAAGCCAGAAGCGAATAGCCAAACAGCGTTTGGCTCACTTCACTTCGGCTGGGTTATTCATTCGGCTGCCTTTGGCAGCTTTGTGAATAACCTCCTATAGTTTATAAAATAATTTTCTGAGCAGAAACATTATGAATAAAATAAAAGGGTAAGGGCAAATGCATATTTATATTTAAATTAGTTAGCAACAGAAAAACAAGGCAAAACACACTCTGAAATAGTCTCAAAGAGGCCCTTAAAAGGAGAAAAACACTGGGATAATTTTCATGTAAGAGCAATTTGTCCGAGACTTTTCAAAACACAAATTTAGATAGTAAATCTGGTCATACACAGGTAACAGCATAAAATACTACCAGGGACGTGCGGTCAGGGGAAGAAGGTGAGGCAGAGCCTCATCTAGTACTAAGGAGGAAAAAGCTGTCAGCTTCAAATCTGAAGCTGACAGCTTTTTCTCCATTCAGACCGGCTTGTATAGGTTACACAGCAGGGAAAGCCTCCCCACTGTGTAACCTGTAATGGACAGGCGTTGCATCCGGCTTTTGACTGCTTTGTGTAACCTAACTTAGTGAGGCAAGAGCTGCAACAGCCTCTACTTGCTGTTAGAGGCTTGAGCTCTGTGGATGGCTTGGACCATCAATCTCAATGCCTCACCGGTGACGAGTAAGTGAGGGACATGGAGGCTCCTCTCTGTCTTCTCTGTTCTCTGTCCACCCTCCCTCCTCCACACAGCTCTGTGACTGGGTTGGGGGGGGGGCGGAAGCGGCTGGGGGTGGGTCATGGGTGGGGCATAGGCGGGCTGGGGTGGGGCATGGGCTTGGGCAGGGCACAGGCCTCAGCGAGAACAAATGCCTCACCGAGAACAGACTCCACTGCACGTCACTGAATACTACTGTAGTCATGATCATGTCTAGCTAGGTGATCCACTGCCACAGGATTACTTTACTGTCTCTAGGGCCCTCTAGGGCTACGGGGTAAAAGATGCTTACACATAAACAGTGATTAGCAACCATAGTAGATCATTTCCTTATCAGTTTGGTTCATGGTTAAGCATTGTGGATCAAACCTGCTTTGTAACAGTATCAGTTGTTAAAGATGGCATTAGAGCTTTAACTTCCAAATTGTTTCCACTAAGGCCATTCATACATGACCCGATATGTCTAAGCCTAGTGGCTGATCCCAGAATAATTTGCAACAACTGTGCATTGAGGGGTGTAACCACAGAGAAGTAACACACAACTAAAAGTGTAGGTGGTGGAAAATGCAATACATTTCTGTGCTGAAAAATCCCCATCACCCCCTGCCCACGGTTGCTCCTTTTTCTCCAAAGTTAGTGTATGGAATTCTCAAAGGACATATCTATGATAAAGGTTGGGATAGGTCCTCATGATGTTATAATCTAGACAAGCAAATCTTTTAATACCAACTACTGGGAGAAGATATCTATCCCTGTATGGCAAAATTAAGGCATGAAATAGCTTAAGTGAACCATTTTTATTTTGTGACACAAGGACAGGTTAATTGCCACTTTTTTCTTCTTCCTTACTATACTAGACAACTACTGTCTAAAAGTATAATACACTATTCTTCTTACCGATGCAATGCAAGCCATCAACAGATGTGAGATATCCACGAGGACAAATACAGTAATAGCTACCAATCGTGTTGGAACATTCTCCTCCGTTACAAATACCAGGAATAGTGCTGCATTCATCAATGTCTGTTGGGTTAAATAAGACATATGGTTACATGGGTTTCAGTAAGTACTTGTATTTGAAATATTCAGCACAATAGCATAATTTATACACTTAAAGGTACAATGAGATATAAAGGAAATACCAGTGCTTTGTTTTTCATACTCATCTGCCTAATTATGTTTAGCAATGTAGTTTCAGTTGTTAAAATTGCTAATAAGCAACTTAGGTGATCTCTTAATCTATACAATTATAATATGTTGAAAATCGGAATTATGGGAATTTAACTCTGTTGGTGCATCTGTAAAATTCAGCTCCCAGCAACCAGTCCTAGCCTCAAAAAACTACAGCTCATTTATTGAACTGTTTAATGTGGCTGAGCTGTGATACATATAATATTAGCAAGTAAATGGGGGAAGGTAGTAACAGGGAGTTCAAACATAATTATACATACAATTTCTTGGAGGTTTTATTCAGGGACGTACCCAACATTGAAGAAATGCATATAAAACTCTTGACCAAAAGAAGGAGTAGCAAGTCGGGCGAGGTGAGTAGAGATTGTCTATGGATTCAGGTTGGGAAGTAAAGGAGCAAGGTCTTTTTTCTTGATGTATTGAAGCCATGGGCCCCAAGTTATCTCAAACTGTAACTTTCTGTCATTTAGTATGCTGGCTAGTTTCCCATGCCTTATTACCCATGAAATCTTGGCCCTAGTCATAGCAAGGAGCACTCTAAGGGATTGCCAAACACCTCCTATAGAGATTTCGGCTGCCACTATCATAAAGAAAGCCTGAGTTTTCAAGTTTTTTTGGTAGGCTAGAGTTAGGCTTGCTTAGGAGTGTGATTTTTTTTTAATTAAAAGAGAACTAAAGCCAAACTTGTTTTGGCTTTAGTTCTCTTTTGGGTCAAAGGAGTACATTTGCTAATGTACTCCTTGGTTGAATAATACAAATAATGGGGTTTTGTCTGATGGCATTTAGCACAATGTAACATACACGAAATATAGAAAACCCACATTTTTATGGAAACACGGTAAAAGTCAATAAAATCATAAAATACATTGGGGGTGATACCAGACAACTATAATGGCCATCAGTATATAAGTTGACATAAGGTGCCCCCTGGAATTACTACACAGTGGTCATAAAGAGTATTGTCCCATATTGTTGAAAAAATTATTCAAAGAAAATCATCATTAAGTATAGCCGGTCGAGGTCCAGACCTCAACGTGTTTCACACTCTTATGCTTCTTCAGGAAGACAGGGCCACTTGTCACTAAGTTAGCACAGGTATATATCGATGGTCACACACCAATTCACATTTTACTGCAACCAGCAGGGTAGCACACACGCATATTCACAGACGGGAGAACCAGAGTGACACCCAGCCCGGATTCCTGGAAATCGTGCCCTGTATATGTAGTGGACACAAAAGTATCACCTGTATTCCCTGGCATCCATTTGAGTGTCATTATTCTATATTGTACAATGTGGCTGAGCTGTGATACATATATCAATAGTTACATAATTATACATAGTCTTTCCAGTATTTTGAGGGGCTTTTTTCAGGGGTTCACCCAGCATCGAGGAGATGTATATGGAGCTCTAGACCGCAAGAAGGAGGAGAAAAGAGGGGGTGGGAAAAATGAACAGGGACTTCCTGGGAGTTCACCATCAGCTATAGATTTAGGTTGGGTAGTTATGGAGGATGGTCATAAAGCAATATATATTAAAGCCATTGGTCCAAGCTCTCTAATTTCGTATTATTTCAGTCCTGAGGAAAATCGCTACTGTAACTATAGTTACCAGGACAAATAAAGAGGGTATTTTTCTCCAGTGACGACACAGACAGCAATAAACGCCTAGTAAAGTCATCAAAGACCTAAAGTCATCAAAGACCCTGAAATAAAATTGTGGGTAGCATACAGGTACTTGGTGAGAAGTCAAGTCAGTCGGCTTCTAGTTTGCTGCCATTCCCCTTCTCAAAAAATGGCAGAGAAAAATAAAACAGAAACCCAACACATATGACTCAGGATAAGAATCATTATGTATTGCTTGTTTAACAGGATTCAGTGGACTATATTTATTTTTTACCTACTTATACCACAGACTTAGGGTTTACCTTGCTTCCACTGACATCAATGATATGCGGCTTATTATGCTCAAAATGACACCAAAAATGTGGGGTATATTTTATCCCACAGGCACCAATGATTCAAGGCTTATTTTATCCCACTGACATCACAATGGGGATTATTTTCCTTGCACTGACACCAATCATTAAGCAGTTTTTATCCTACTGACACCATTGATGATGCCTATTTATCACACAGATACCAACAATAGGGTTTTTTCTTTTTCACTCCCAGTTTTAGTTTATGTCATTGACACCAACAATAGGTTCTTATTTTATTACAACTGTCAGTAGCAATGAGGGCTTATTTTATCCCACTGATACTAAGGATGGGGCTTGTTTTTCTCTTCTACTGACACCAATAATATGGAGTTTATTTTAACTCCACTGACACCAACAATAGGGCTTATTTAATCCCCACATACACCAACGTTGGGGCTTATTTTATCCCACTTCAAGGTGCTCCTCCTAATTATTTTCAAATGTACTTTGTCTGACATCACCGACATTAATGGACAAAGTGTGCCTATCTAAATTCAGTCCTCGTAGTAGACCTTACCCAACCTTCCAATAAAAGCTGTGCATATTATGACTGTTGTATGTAACCTTAAGTCACACTTGGAGGGGGAAAAAAAACAAACAGTTTCTTGTTACAAACTACCGTGCTTGAACAGCCAATTGTATGCAATGTGGGGAATTTATCAAAACTGGAGCAGACAACATCTAGAACAGTTGTGCATGGCAACCAATCAGCTTCTCTTTTCAGTTTGTTCATTTATGATTTGAAAATAAAAGAGATAAGCTGATTGGTTGCCATGCACAGCTGCTCCAGATTCTGTCTGCTCCAGTTTTGATAAATTCCCTTCAATATGTTTGCCATCCTAAAAAGACATAATAATGATATTCAAAAATCCATTTTATTCCTAAAAAGATATTATTTTGCTTTGAGAAATGTTATACTTTTTCTCTCATTGGCAGATTTTATAAAAACTTGTGGTACAGTATCTGTATAATATGGAATACGCTTATTCTAATAACGGGTGATTCAATATTTCAAATAAAAATGTTCTTTGAAATTGAGCTGGATTGTGGAATATAAAAAAAACCACTTCCAATAAAGCTAAAAGTTATAAATTCCAAAACTTTTCAATGTCCAGGAATTCCTAAACCATTCCATGAACTGACCACATTAAGGTCAGAAATATTAAGTGTTGAAGAGAAATGCCTGTTCAGTTAATCCCAAGGAACGAAGCTGCTCAGGAAATGTACAAAATTTACAATCAAGCATTACTTACAGTTAATCAAAGCCATTTACTGTGACTGAAACATAACACTAGGGCGGCAGCTAATTTAAAGGTTATGTACACATCCAGTTCGCATATAACTATGGGGAACTATGGGGTTAGGGCTTTTCCCCAGGGTTCTTCTTAGGGTAACGGGAGGACACAAACTAGTGTCCTCCCGTCACCCTAAGCTCAGTATACCGCGAGCTACAGCTTGCGGTATTCTGAGGCGTCGCAGCTGAAGCGGATCCCGACAATTATGTCTGGATACGTCCAGCTGCATGAGTGACAGCTGGCTCTGCCTATCTAGAGGCAGAGCCAGCTGTACTCGCCCCCTCCCCGTCTGTTCCGCCAGTCAGCGCTGGAGGATCGAGAAAGGATCGCATGAGAAAGCAAAAGCCCTACCTCTACCAAGATAGCTGCCTACACACAGAGACAGTGCAGACCAAAGCATGGTAAGCCAGTAATGCGAAAAGATCAGCTGCAGGGAGGTCATGGGCAATGCTGGTGACCAATCCTTTGCCCTTTGCCTGCCTTATATTTGGACAAAGCTTCCTGAGTTCAGCTCCTCTTTAAGTCTGTATTCTGGCTAAATATAAATACCATCTCTCTGTGGCAATGATTGGACAACTTCAACACAATAGTGAACCCTCTTGGATATCACCCACCGATGTTATGAGATAAGCCACAAGTGCAAAAAAAGCACAGCGGTCCAATCAGTTCTGTGCAAGGAGAGATTCTATGTTAGATTTTACTAATCATGGTAATTAGTCTGTCACACTGCTGGTTCCTGTTTAATTAATACAGCTTGATAAAGGATGAATTGTCCAAAACACCAAGGGGGTTAGTCACAAAGCTACCTGAAGGCAGCCGAGTGAATAACCCAGCCGAGGTGAAGTGAGCCGAACGCTGTTCAGCTATTCACTTCAGTCTTGTATGCCTGATTTCAGCTGTGCATCAGCTGCCTTTGGTCAGCCGAACATGCTCTGCATGTTCGGCTGAGCCGAAGTAAAGAAGGAGTTCGACTCAGCCGATCCAACATCTGGATCGGCTGAGCTGAAGCTCCGGCAGCTCACTCACTGCCGTTCGCCCACATTCTCATAGGGGCCGAACGGCAGTGAGTGAATAGCTGAATGCCACAAAGCGGCATTCGGTTTGGCTATTCTGCACAGTACCTCCGAGGTACCGAGCAGAATAGAAAAGAAGTGAAATAAAGAAAAAAAAAAGTTGAAAAATGTATTAAAAAATTATAAAAAATATGAAAGTTAAAAAAAGGAAAAATATTTTAAATAAAAGGAAAAAAAAAAGAAATACTATTTTGCGGAGCTAATTGTTTACTATTGGCCGAGACCTGCCAGAGTCTTCTAGCAGGTCCCGGGCAAAAAACAACAACTGGGTGAAGCCAGCCGTGACATCACGGCCGGCCCCGCCCAGTTGTTGTTTAATGACAGATCAGTGTCCCTGGGTTATTTGGGGATGCTGATCTGTCATTACAACTGGGCAGAGCGAGCCGTGAGATCCCGGCTGGTTCCACCCAGCTGTCAATAGCGTGGAAAAAGGTTGACCCTTGGGCCGACCTTTCTCCACACTTCGGCTGTCAATTCCTCTGA